GTATGCTTCTTCCATTAGTCACCCAATAATTGGCATTTTAATATGCCCTTGACTGAGCTTAGGGAAAGGAGGGATTGGCAACTCAGGCAAGACTGACAAGAGTGAGAAGTGAGTGATTTCCTTTTTTTTTTTTAAATCAGATTTTGAATATCTACAATGGTTTTCAATAGACGTATTTCACCATATTCACCGTACTTCATACTCACCATATTCAACATATTTCACTATATGAGCAAAAAAGCAAATTCAAGTTTCCATAAAACACAAATATGTAGAAGTTCTCATTACTAATTGCTTATTTTAGCTTGCAGCATCAGTATTATTCAGAAATGCCTAAAGCGTTAAGGAAACCAAGGTCTTTAAATTGTTTATAAGAAAATATGCAAGTTCAAAAATTCATAAGTATTTTTACACGTTCTTTCCTCCCTGGTAAATGCACCAATTTCCCTGCTGTTCTCTAACTTCCTTGAGCTTACTTTTTTTTGTTCCAGGAAAGGGTTTTGGCCCCACAGAATACAGGAGCACACATTGAGTACAGTTTGCAAACAATGTGTTTAAGAAGGTTCCATGAAAAATCACCTTTTCTGGATGACAAGCAACCAAGAACAACAAATTTCCAGGATGTATTAACACACACTGCCTTTTTTTTTTTTTATTACTCAGTACTCCAACACAACGACATTAATGCTTAATCCTATTTCTAACATATTTTGAAGACTAAAATGAGCTTCCTTTTGCAATCTAAACCATAGGTTTATATATGTTCAACTATTAAAAAAAAAGGTTAAATTACACTACCATTCTTTTTCCTACTTCCAAAAGCCCTCCTCCTTTCCCCATCCCTTGCTATTTAGTGGCAAGGTTAAAAGAAGTGTTACCCTTTACCTATAAAATTTAAAATTAACTCAACAAACCCAATTTGTTGTAAAGTTTAAAAACAAGCTGAAGCCAGTAGACTTACCTGTTAACAATGCCCATCTGTGATAATACAGACTATCTTGTTTTTCTAGAACATCTTTAATCTGGTGATATTCTATTTTTACCGATTTCAACTAATTTCACTGTAAAATGTTAAATCTAATTTTTGTGAAAAATAAAAACAGAAGTATTCCTAAGTTAGCAACTGCTTTTGAACATTCTTTCCTCCAAGTGTCTTTAGCACTTGGAAATCAAAGTATTGCATACCTCAAAATATCAGACTATTCCAAGAAACTCCCAAAGGAACAACATGGACTTTGAGGCTTAAAAGGATTCACTTTATTCTTTCTGTGCCAGAGCAACTGTATCAGAATATAAATATTGTGAAAACTGGAATTATATTTTCTTGGAGACTAAAGAAATTAATTTACAACTTAACTAAAATGGCAGCACTTTTATTTTATTTATAAACAAACAGTTATGCAATTTCTTTTGTATGGGCATATCACCATCACCTCATCACTACAAGGTCGAGCTTATGTAAGCTTTCTCCTACATTTAAAGAGAGAATGTTGCTCCTATTTTTCTAAGAAATTATGATAAACACAGATGTAGGAAGTGCTCTGTATTTGACAAGATATTACTAAAAAGCTTGTACATTTGTTTGCTGCCCACTTCTTCCTCTTTTTTTTTTTTTTTTTTTTTTTTTTTTTTTTTTTNTTTTTTTTTTAAGTCAAACAAACATGATCTCTTCCTTGCCACTGGAAGAAAAAAAATGTACTGTTGTAATACATACTGAGTGAAGATCTATCTACAAGAGCATTTTATCATTCTTAATTGACTGTGGAGGGAAAGAAGTGCAGAAAAGGTGTTACTTGAAGGTCTGATATCATTCTCCCTTATGTTAGCTCTGCTCTACCTCATCCTTTCACAAGAGTCACTGGTGCAGGAAGTTACTGGTGACTTTTCTTTATTAAAAAAGAAGGGCAGAGAGAATGAATCAGGAAAGCAGTTTCATAAGCAAAGCATTCGGTCCTTCCAGACCGGAGTGCTGACATTTAAAACTAAGGAACAAGACTGTTTACGTTTACTGCTCTTCAAACGATAATTATGCTCAAGTAAGTTTTTCCTCTTTTTGAGGTTTTTCTTCCACAAGATAACAGGAATAAAACCTGGACCACAGATTGCTCCGACATCACCAGTGAAGCAAATCAACTGGTTTATTTTCTCCACTTCCACATTTTCAAACCTGTATGCATATATGCTGTATCTTGTGCTGCAACAGTTCGGCTCTGCATCAGCTCACAAACTTCTTTAGGTTTGAGCCTACACACAGCACGGCCTACTTGCTTTCTCCTTGCAGTGTGCCAGATCTCTTCAGTTTCACAAACTTCTGAACAGAGCTGTCATTATTAATTCTCAGCAAGAAGCCTAAGCCCCTATGAATCACTGCAGCAACTGGCAGCAAGAGCCTGTGCTGCTCTTGCAATGCTTCAGAAAGGAGAGAAATCCTAAAGGAAGTCAAAGCTTTTAGTAGAGCTACCACTGACTTGGTCCTTGCACTGCAAGTCGTCATGCAACTTCATTAAACAAAAGAGCAGAGAGAAAGGGTACACGAGGCTGACAAAGCATTTCAGAAAGAAGAAATATTTTGACACGCTGTTTCTGAGGCTGGGCTCTCAGCTCCACGCCACAGGCCCAGACCGAGACTTCCCACAGGCTACAGCTTTTGCAGCCCTCACTTTTAGCAAAAGCTGGGCTAACAGTGACAACGAGGACAGGAAGGTAGGAATGGAACAGGAGCACCTAGTAACGAGGTTTAAGGTAAACTGCCTCCCAGAGCTGTGCACAGTGCAAGTGTTGGGCCTTGCGCGGCACCAAGAGCACCGACCTGGGTCTGAACACAACTGCAGGTAACACATGCTGCACTCTCCTCCTCCTTCAAGGAATGCACCCTACAGGCAATGTAAAACATTATTTATTGAGTAAAATCATGCATTTTCCTTCACCTCACCAAATCATACTGTTGGATGATATTCTCATAAAACAAGGGATAATAACTGTTCTTTCCTACAGAAGTTATAGTGAAATGAGAAACAAAAAGCTTCCTTAAGAAGCACAGGGATTAGTCTCTAACACGCTGCTTAACTGCCAGTGTTTAATTGTACTTCCTGGCCACAGCTCTCTACGCTCCTACAAACACAAGGCAGACAGTATTTCTCTGTGCTGGCAAACTTGCTTTTTTTCTGGAACACACATTCACTGTGATCATTGTATTTTGCAACCACACTGCTTCAACAAAGTTATCAGCTCTGTGGCCCACTGGTAAAGCCAATAAAGTAATTTAAAGTATTTAAATTATGATTGATAGTGGTAGTAAGTTCACTATTTTATAAAGAATCAAATCCATAAAACTATGAAGAAGGAAACTATACTGTGAGTTTGCATTTACTGTATTCTCTCTGTAGCAAACAGAAGGGGAAAAAAAGTCCAAAAATTGTTTTTCAAAATCTTTTTGTTTAACCCATGAACAAGTGTGCTCTCACCATTTTGAGCTGCAAATTTCAGCACATGTGGCTGTGTTACTGGAGATCGCTCTTTTAAAGTGATATCTGTGCTAATTGTGCATTTTATAACATAACTTTAAAAAGTTACAAATCAGAGTTCCAAGTCACATTAAGATGCACTTCTTTTCCTCTGAACTTTAAATTCTTTCTTACCTTCCATTCACTGTCTCACTGCCCACTCCTGCTGATGACCTGGTAGTCAACAGAATTCGATTTGTGGCATCAAGGCAAGCTAATTTTTAGATTATCTTGGGCTTCCAGAGCTAACCAAAGAACTCTGAGGCTGCGTGCTGTGAGACACAGCCACACGCAGAGGTTCATGCTGCTTTCAGAGAATAAATCATCTTCAAGAGACACATACCATCACAAGAGCAAAACCTCAGTTTTCACTGAATCAGTATTCCTCATTAAAAAAATCATTTTCCTCATTATTCTTATAGGTTATCTCCTTGACTTACTGTTCCATTACTTTTTTTAGTAAAGAAAAATTCTACATAAATGTTAGTAAGTACTTCTTTTTAGTTAGTACTTCTTTTCTTAGAAAACATGCAGTTCTTTTGATCTGTAAAAGGGTAAATTTGAAATCCTCAAAATAGCACATGCAGATAATGGCAAATTCAGGTATCTAAATAAGACACTGATGCACTGCTGTATTCTTAGTTACACACATGTTCTCAATTCTATCTCCTTTTCAAAGGTGTTAGGCTGCTGACCCCAGTGAGCGACTTAATTTGTTTCAGTTATTTGCACAGTGGCTACAGTGATAATTTAGTTCAGTTTGGGGGAAACTTCTGTATGCTTTCCCCCCTTTTTTATTTTTTATTTATTTTTAAACACAAGTGAATATAAGTTTTGAGTTTGCTCAATGTTATTTACTTTTCCTCCAGTTATTCGCAAGACACATCTTCCAGTTACAGCGACTTTCCATGAAGCATCCTGTTGCTGTTATTTTGTTGCAATACTTTGGACCCATCAAAGAATTTCTACCAAACATGAGACTATTGTGGTGTAATGCATCACAGTAAAGACACAACTTCAAAAAACAGCTGTACAACTAATCTCCAAATTGTTGCCAGGTACCCATTACTGATATGTACTTAATTGGCCTAGTCGGAAAGAAAAAAAGATGGAATTACTCATTCCATGTGCACAGCATGGATCAACTAAAATAGAATCATAACATTTGCCTAAAGCAGGATGTTTTCATTTAGAAATAGTTTCAAAATAATAATAAAGTGCAAAATTCCACAGTTGTTTCCCGGTCCCTCATTTAACTTGAAACAGTTTCAAAATGAGAAAAATTCTTGTTGCACTTTTGCAGATTACACTAATTGCTTATTTGATGGACTTGTAATAGTTCATCCTATTTTTTTGTTAGGAGAAGTCAAACAAAACCCCCAAATGTCTGGTTGCCCACACATTTTCGCACATAAAAAAAAATAACAGCTCTCTTAGAAGCTGGGAGAAGACATATCTTTAGAACAGGGTGTTAAAAATACATCTCTGTTTCCCTACCTGTTTCTCACTCAGAGCTGTGATTTTGGCTTGAAGTTCATGAAGCTGTTTCTTCAAATCAGCGTTCTGATTAGAAAGAAAAAATATCTGTGAGAAAGATATTCCATTTGTTAACACAGAGTAGTAGCAGGAAGGTTTTTTGCATAGTGTACAAATACAGCACCTCTGGATGCACTGCCAATATAATTTGAGTGGCTCAACAGAGCCTCATGCAAGTCACTGAGTGCAACAAGTGCAGAGCACCTTTCTGGCGCTCAAAGAGACAGCTCAGTTTAAAATTAGGACTTTATTAAAACATCCATTAGCGCTTACCACAATATAAAGTGCATTCATACTTTTCATTAAGTTTACAAATCAAATAAGGGAAAGGTTAGTTAATACATAATAATATAATAAAGATTACAGAGTGCCACGTAAGGCACTCACCTCTGCTACTTAAGCAAAGGTAGTAGCATACTTTTGACTGTGTACAATATCAACACTGTAGCAATTAATCTTCATTGACATGCACACCAAATAAAACAAAATGCAACTAAGTCTTCACTTCCAGGTATTTTTAGGACTCAGCCTACACTTAATAGAATTACATCTGCCTTAAAACATCATTTATGGCAGCATTTTGCTTACAAAGGTACTTTCTTAAGATTTTAAAAGCCATAAACATTCCTATGAAGATGTAGACAGAATAAAGGTTTTAGCAAGGCTATTTATTTTTTACTCAAAAAGTTGAGTTTAAGGCCTGTGAAGCTCTGCAGAAATATGACAAGGAAGCTAAATTCCCTTCATTTTTCATTTCCTCTTATCCATGCTGTAAACTCTTTACACTAGTAATCATGCATCATTACTAAAAAGGATCACACAGGTTTATTGTGCTACATGAAATATTAAAACTAATGCTGAAGAAAGCTTCCCTATGTTTATATTCCTCCACACAATTTTGGAATGCATTATAAACCTAGCTCTTATTTGTAGCAAGTCTTCTCCAATACACACACAATTTTAACAGAATTAAGTATTGGCTGTTCTTCTAGATACCACTTAACAACCCATGATAGAAATGAATTTAGAGCATTGGAAGCAGGGAGCAGAACATGGGATCCTCCAGCGTGGAATCTCTCCACACTGTTCTGCCTGGCTCCATGATCTCTGCATTTCTGCTGTAGTGCGATCTGTTTTTCAACAGACATGAGCAGAAAGCAAACTACTTTACAGGCTAATTGCCACAGACCTTTCCTCAAATCCCATCAGGCTAAAGTTGTTCTAAAATCCTGATCTTCCAATATCCCCATTAGAGAGCTAACTACTTGACTGTTATACAAAAAGCTCTCTTCCTACTCCGATGAGTGTTCATGGTTAAAAAAAATAATAGGGCATTTAGTATTTTATGGGGATGGAGGCGTTTAATAGCAAGCCCCAAGTGAGGTGCCTTTATCCCTATACTTAACATTTCAGAGTCATCAGAAAACTCCAGGTAGCTCCCACTGAGCCAACCAGAGAGCTTAATTGCTGTGCAGGATAATGTGGTCTCCTTACAGAGTCACTGGGAAGGGGGGGAACTTCTACCCTCTGCAACAGGGCTCAGTTATCCGGCTTCAGCAGCTCTGAAACAGGCTGTGGCCGAGACGTCACTTCTTTCAGATGCTGCAACGCCAAAGCTGTGTGTTCGGGACAGGCAATCTGAACACAGCCCTAAGTTACATTCTTTATTTGGACATTACCTATTGGAAAGGGAATCTGGTGTCTATTATAACTTCTAGTGAACCTCCTAATACTCAAAAAAAAAATTCTAATAGTGTCATTTTTTAGAAAGAGACACTTCTATTAGAATAAAAAGATCTTACTTCACACTTGAATTACACAATAACCATAAGGATTGCTTGATGTAAGCAGTCAAGAATATGAAGTGAAAGACTCCATAAGCTAACGGTTTCCTAACCATCCAGCTGTCATTGCTTAAAGGATTGTTTGTAACCATTCTCTTCTAAACACTACATTAGCAAAAGGGAGCATGATGAAGAAAGTTCTTAGGGAACTCTTAGGGAAAGCTCCATGCAAGGCTATTTTCTCTATTTTAAGAGTAAATAATGCAATATAAAAAGAAGAATAGTTACCTGTGGATCTTGCTTCATTTGGGCAACCAGTTTCTAGAAAGAGAGAGACAGAGTAGATAGGGATTGTCATTAAACATCTTATTGAACAGCCTGAAATTCAATAATTCCGGAAAGTTTTTTAAAAAGATATAAAGTTTAGAGTAATTTTAATAGTAAAACTTAACCCACAAGGAAACCAGTATGACACAATCTCCCCACATATTGTTTATTAACGTAGTAAAAGCAACACACTAACGCATCAGTGTTGCTCCTCCTAAGCAGCCGCGGAGCAGGCGATCTCTTTGGAGCAGAGCTCGGAGCAGCTGGGCAAGCCGAGCCGACCGCTGCGTGCCCTCCAGCGCTGCCGCCTGCCTCGCTTGCGGCCACAGGAAACGGAGCGCAGGGAAGCGCTGGGGACACAAAAGCCGTTTGTGTCTCGATGCTGAGACCGCTGCGAGCGCCAAGGGCCGCCCGCGTGGCCGAGTCCGCGTGGGAGACCCGTGTCCAGCGGCCTCTTCGCCGCTGCCCTGCCTCTGCCTCAGTCAGAGGGATGGAGCCCGTGCGGACCTGCACGCGGCTGCCACTCACTGTTCCTCCTGCACCAGGACGCTGCCTCTGTCGCTACGTAAGGAAAAAGTTATGCGGCTGTCGCTGAAGAAGCCAGAGCCCAGGAGGAGGAGGCGGCCACGTAAGCAAAGATTCCCAATTTCTGTTTCGATTTCTGCAGAACTTTTACTCGGCACATTGTGTTGATCTCCATGTGTGAGTAAGGGACACGGCAAAGCTCTTACTTTCATCCCCATTTGCTCGTCAGAGCAGGGCAGAGTGAGGAACAGGAAGGATAAGACAAACAAAATATATGTTTCATTCCGCCTGCGTTACTAACAAATCAAAGAACACAGTCTTTGCCAATTTACTACTGCTGGTTAAGACTATTTCATATCCTAGAAGTGCTGTTAATCAGAAAACAAAGCATCAAAAAGATAGTTCTGTGGCACAGAAATTTTATTTGCTCTAGTATCCTCTTTCCAGTACTGGCCAAGAGCAAACACATAAGCATCCATAAGAGTACTAAGCAATACATAGGGATTACTTCTTACTTCCCAGAAATCTACTTCTCAGATGGCTTTGAAAACTACATTCTAAGTTTAATAGTTAGTAACAAACTTCTCTCCCATTTTTGAGCTCAGCAACACACTCCCAATTCCATGAGGCATGCTCCCAGGTCACCTACAGTAATCTACATAAAAGGACCTCCATTTTCCTTTGAACCTGCCCTCTAACAACATCAGCATTAGGGACAAATAAAATTATAGAAAACCATTCTTAACAACCTCTTCTATTCTCCTTGTTCCTGCCCTCTTTTCCCCCACATCTGCCATATTCCCCCCCAAACAGCCCTTTCAGATCCAGAGCCTTCGGGCACACAGTTCCCCCCGGCGCTCTGCTCCTTCTCAGCACTTCTGCCAGCAGGTCTCTGATTCTGCTCCACTGTCTGGAGACAAATGGAATCAGAGAGCATGTAACAGCCGAGCGCTCCACATCCCTGAATCACAATAATGTCTTTCTCCATTCTCATAGCAAATTCACAGCCTGTTATTATATATGTAAGGCTGGGATTGTTTTTAAGGTGCATCACTTGCCATTTATCAACACTGAATTTCATCACTTCACCACACAGTCATTCAGTGTCATGGGAGCCACGTTAGCCACGTGCTTACTTTATTTTTCCTCAGTGCTTTCTGCCACATCAGAGTTTGACAAGCAACAAATCTGTTCGCTTTTATACATACAAAGTGCTTGTACGGATTTAGTCACAAGACAACGCAGCCAGTGACCGCAAACTGTTCACAATATATTGCTAAATATATGAATCACACAACACTGCATCATCCCACCATTTAAAAAACAAAAATCTTTCCCACTAACCCCAAACAAAAGCTAAGTATAAGATATTCTAAAATATTCTGTTTTCATAAGAGAGAAGGAAAAGGATGTTTTAGGTTCTTTTTTCCCCCATCATCTCCAAGAGTCATCCACAAAGCCCAACTTTCCTGTGAGAAAAGCTAAATATAACTTCTCTAACACCTCTTGCAATTGAAACTATGAGCAGCAGATTGTTTCAAAATAACCTTAATTAAGTCAACACAGTAGCAGAATGCACTACTTGGTTACATTTAGTGCAGCTCCCCTCTCACCATAAGCGATACCTTCCATGGCCAAGTGGTATTTCAGTATCCTGGCTCCACTCCAGCTTAGCAAGTGGCCTGGTCAGAATTTATTTAGGGAAGGTTCTTCCATCATCTGAGCAAAACAAGAAGTCTTGCCTAAATCCCAAATGACTAAACAACTGCTTTGGGTCCTTATTGGTAGTTTAACCGCTGCCAAAGAGGCAGTGTTACAACTCCAGGCAGAATTCCAAAGGCAAACGGGGAGAGACGGGAAACAAGGAGCTATGCCTTGGTCAAACCCACAATCACTCTCTGGCCACGTAAACTGTTGTGACAAGCGAGATGCTGCATCAGGAGGCTGAGATGCTTGGCTTGCACGGCGGAGAGCTGAACTGGCTACGCTCGTCACACAGACACATCCACCTGGTGAACCCGGCTCCACCAGCGCCTGGAAGAGCCCGTGGGATGGCAGGGAGGAAACACAGCTAAGGCGGACAGGTCTCCACAGCTCCTACAGGGCTGCTTTTTCCAAGAAAAACTTATACTTATATACTTATATACTGAACCCCTTAAAAATTACAGAATGTAAAACAAGCAAACAAAAAAGGCCATTTGAGGAGCATGACAGTAACAACATAAGGTTCACGAAAAGTTTACTGAAACGTTCAATAATGTCGCTGTGTTATTTTCCATTGTAAAAAGTTTAGACTTGTTTTTAACCACAGTAATGGGAATAGATAGGATCTTAAAGGGGAAAAACAACAACAACAAAACTTTTAATACATAATGGTTTGTCTAATTTCACCAGCTAAACCCAAATGTAATTAAATTTGACTTAAATGCAGCAGAGTGCGTTTGTGATGAGAGCTGGGGAAAGTATAGGAAAAGGGAACCCTAAAACCTTGGACCTTGGTTGGAAAGAGCCTTCGTGGAAGTTTTCCAGCCTCCATCCCTTTTCCTCATTGTCATTATAAACAGATGCTAAAGCTTATTCAAAATTTGTGCTCTTAACTTTTTTGTTCGTTTAGGACGGGAGTAGAGATGTGCGTACGAAAGAAATGCTTTTACCCAAGCACCAGACTAGCAGTCTGATCACCATATAACAGATAATACTTTAAGAAATGCTTGAAAGGTCTTGAACACGTTAAAGACTTCAGCAATGCCATGGGTAATTTGATAATTTCATTACCCCCATATCAAAGCTTTATGAAGTTCTGAAGACAACAAGTGCCTTGGAGCTCCCGAGGAGAGCCCAGTGCTTAACTGCAGTTCCAGGAACTCCTCTTTCCTCTTGGGCCTTGTCAGGTTCCCCTTCCTAGCTCAGGGTTGCATCTTAGTTAAAGCAGACCTTAGTCTGCTTTACTAACCCGCTCACACAATTTCTTGCACTGTGCTCATTCATTGTAACAAGTAACAGACAAATCATCTTCAACACTTGTTTCCACGTTAACCAGTGACTTGTCTGGAACATTTTCCAAATTTATAAACCTAACCCGTGTATCTCAACATACATCTCTCATTCGTGTGTCAACTGAGAATTTCAAATGTCCCACAGAAATACTTGAAGAATTGTTGTACTGTTTACAGCTGCAACAATTTTATTTCAAGATTCTTTAATAAACATATTTCCTCTTATATTTGCTCTGTTTCAACTGATTAATAGTTCTAAATTGCTCATTCTTATCACAATGGAATGGCAAACCACAAGTCCATTGCCATGTAACATTAGACAGGAAGCAGTAAAATATCCTACATGTAAAAAAAATATCGGAGCTCAAGCACGACAACATTTTGGCAGCAAAAGTATAGGGTTAGTATCAAAAAGAGGCACTAAAGCAAAAGATACTCTAGAAAAGAAGCAACATAAAAGTCTACTTAGCATTACGCACATTTCACTTGCAAAATTCCTCTTTGTATCCTTCTATTCCCAAGCAAGTACCAAGGATGGGTTTAGAACTCAGGGGAAAAAAGTGATAGCCAGAAGGTGCTGAATGCAGAATTTGGAATGTTTTGTCATTACTAAAGAATAAAAAAGATAAAATAAAAACACACCCCCTGACATGTTGATGTTTCACATTTGCTAAAAACAACAGATGGTGGGGTCAAAATGCAGACAGTATACAATTCTAAAACAATTTCAAATTTATAAAGCCTTTTTTTTTTTTTTTTGGCTATACATGACCCCTACTGCCATTACTTAAAAGTAAAACATGAAAAATTACCTGGTGAACCTGAATTTCCACTTTCAGAGCCTCCTGTAGAGTCTGCAGCTCCATTCTCTACCTTCTCCACTTTCTCTAGATGTCTCTTTGCTAATTCCAGTGCTTTTAGTTTCTGGTTTCCTCTTCACTCCAGTGCTATAGAAAAATAAAGACAAAAGTCAGTTAAGAACAAATGAGTTTAACAGAGCTGGAACACAGCAGTGAATTACAATCCTCTGCAGCTTTCTGGGTGATCCTAAGACACAAGTAATCTAACTGAACTCTGAACAGAAGGCTTTCTTTGCAGTAGTTTAGCCAAATTTGTTTCTTCCCTAATATCCCAAAGCTCACATTTATGTCATTCATCTTAGATTGTAGGAGGCTATTTCCTATCAATATCCTATTACATTAAATTAGCAAAAAATAAGATTAGAAAATGTAATTAGAATTAGAAAATCCTAATTCATTAGATTAGAAAATTAAACTGTTGAGAATGCTTCAAAAATCTGTGTAGCTGTGAAAATATTCTGCAGATAAAATTCTGCAACCCAAAGAGGACTGTAAACTGCTAAGCCAAATGTATGACATTAATTTTCTCTCAATGATATTCTAGGGCTGTTCTTAAAAGCGATGACCTGCACATGATTTGAAAGAACTATAATGTACCAAGAAACACTGCCTGAAGTTTGCACTGAGTTAGTCATTTTGGCTGGAACTTATTTTGAAGAAAGGTAAGGCCGATAAAGCACAAGATTTATCCAAAATCATTAAAATCCCTTACTGTTACTAGGTAGAACTCCAATAAGTATGAGTTTACCATCTTCACCGGGACTTCAAACAAATCAATCCCTTTAACCTGTGACACTGAAAACTATTACAATCCATATTTTTAAAAGCCTTGAAATTCGGACAAGAGAATTTTTTCTCTCACACACACACACACACAAAGGAACCCGTGTAAAAATTGCATGAAAAACATCTATAAATACATACATATAAAATCCTTCAGAAAATATTCTATAGCAATCTTCCTGGTCATTTTTACCGCATCAGACATTAAGGAATCACAAGTGCTAAAGCAGTGGTTTGTTTTGGTTTTCCTCTCCCAATTTACTGAACAGGAGCAGGTGCCAGCTCAGAGGCACTCATAACAGGACCTCACCCTTTCCAAAAGGATACTGATAATTTAACATAGATTATGCACATGGGCTGCAAAAAGAGACCATTCCCTCAAGACAGAGGCTTTCATTTGAACGTTGTCTAATAGCATCCTGTTACAGTGAATCTGAAGCCTTGTCAAGCCTACGGTACTGTTAAAACAACAAAAGTTTCACAGTTTAAGTCTTTGTCTGTCCAAACAGAACCAAGTTACAAAAAGAATATAAGGAATATTTTAAAAGCATGATATTTACACTCATTCCAGTGTTGTCTACTGTTAGCATAAATTTTGGTATTTAAGTAACAAGGTCTAATCAGACTTTCCAGTCAACACGTGCACGTCCTTCTCCAAGGGTCTCTCCCACATGCAACACAGAAGAGCCTAAGCAGCTGTCTTTGCAGCACTGCTCTTTAATAAACTGTAATTTGTATCAAGGGATACATGGAAATTACATATAGTTCCCTGTTCTATTACCAGAAACCTTAATGAGAAAACAGAATCCTGGATGATTACCTCCATTCACTGACAGGAGCAACTATAGTCTGCATTAAGTCCCTATCACTGCAGTTTCAAAAGAAACCTTTCAAGACCCTGGTGAGAGACTCACTGCTGAAGCCTAGAATCATTACAGAGGCAGTCTCTTTCATAAGCCCTGGAGAATTTGGCTTGGGGGTAAAAATACAGGCAAATACGGCTATATTTGCCCCCCTCCAATGGCATCGTCAATGAATTAGATGGCAAAAGAATAATGAGTATCATTCTGTGACTATATAATAACTTCAAAGCTCAAAACAGAAGGAAAAAATGTTTAGCTCAAATGGGACCGTCAATAACAAACACGGGCTGTAAAGTCTAATACCAGCTCATGTGGGGGAAAAATAAAGACATGGTACATCTCAATGGCTCATAAATACTAATCCAACTTTAGTTGATAGATGCCTTTAAAAGCTAAAGAGGTTTCCAAAAGTAATTTTAAGAAGGTTTAAGGAAAATGTGATGTGTTGCAGAAGTGATAGTACAGTCCAATACATTTTAGTCACGTTAATGCAGTTACAGACAGGAATAAGAATAATTCACTGCTTTCCTGGCGAATACACACGGTGACAAGCAAGCTAGAAAACAAAGCTATTCCTGAGACATAAGGATCATTCACTAGTTCCATCCCCCAAGCCATGTTACAACTGGAAACGCTGCTTCCATTAGAATTTTAAAAAGTTAATAGCATAAAACTCCTCAAATGCAAAGACTTTTAAACAGATCCCCTATAATTTGGAAATAGGTCACATACTATGACAACCTGAAGAATTAATTTCAAACTCTAATACTGAACCCCCACAGAAAAGGCAAGAGAGAATAACAGAAACTTCTGACCATTCTTCTCCTTCTTGCAGGTTTGCTAGCTCTTCAATCTTTTCTTTTTGCTTGTCCTCCCCTATTATGGTCTCAGAGGAGCTTGCTTTGCAATATCATTTACTTCCCATTACCTTCTTCTGGCAAAGTTACTGCAGCTCATTTTAAAACACAAGAAAACAGCCTCTTCTGTGCTAAAATTAAGTGGCAAGCAATCCAGACAGTCAGCGTGCATGCACATTTGGGAACAAGGGAATTAAAGGGACAAATACTCTGTATAATAATTTTACCTTACAAGCTAACAATGACTATTCCAAAAGAGGAAGCAACCAGCAGAGCAGTTTGTTAAAGCAGGGTTCGCAGGATCACTGGGCAGAGCTGAGAAGAGCGCAGCTTTAACTAAGCTTTCCCAAGGCCAGCATGATTTGGGACTGGCAAAAGTGCTACAGAGAAGAGCGTGTCCAAGTTTACCATGTTTACTGACGTAAAAGTTTAATGCAAGATAAAGATACTAACCAGAAAACCGAGTATATGCACTTGTAGTTTACTTCCTAAGGCAGAAATATCTGAAGTTATCCCTGTCCAAAATCCCTCCTTAAGTTACCTTAAATACGCTCCCAATATTAATTCTCAAGGGGGAAGGAAGGAACGAACATTCTTTAAATGCAACAAATCATAAACTGGGTTCCTTTGTCCTACACAGAATAATGTCTAGAAATATATATGAGGGCATCTGCTTAAATATTAATAATATTTCCTTTGAAAATTGATACAGATGCTACCTAAAGTTAATAAAGAATTACCTAAAAGATTTGCAGGTTGCCCAGTGAGTGGCCACACATATTTGAGAGTGAAAATCTTCAATGTTCTTGGACTTCTGCGTCTCTTAGGCTGAACCTTGTGGGGAGGTGTAAAGCCCCATGGCATTATAAACTACCTACAGGATCACTTCTGAAGAGGTATAAAGCTATAGTTATATAAAACTTTAACTCTTGGAAGCAGCAGCCCTCCATCCGATGTCTTACAAGCACACATTTTCACAAATAAATCTTTATTTCTTAGTTGCTTCAAGACTGTTAAAGCTTCACATTCAGTTAAACAGCCTAAAGCACCTCAATTAGGATAGTGCATATGTTTACCTACAATATAAATAATTCAGAGACTAAATGAACCATTAAAACCCATAATAATAATAATAATCATATAAGTATATTAGCACTTGTCTATTACTATGCCAATTAAAAACAAACGAAGAACAAAAAAAGCCACACAAATGTGGTCCATGTCAGATATTCTAAAATATAGAGCCACCTAACCACTGATTCAAACATATTGATAACAAGTGTAGGACCTGTACAAAAGCTGTGGATGCCTTCCATGAGTATGTGAAGATTCTAAGTAACTTAGAATTTGGCACCTACACTCCCCTCAAATAGATCTGTTTTCATACTACATAGGAAAAAAAAGTGCTATTATTAAATAGATTAAATTTGAAATCACAGACTCAGGCCCAAATCTCAGAGACCTATTATTTCACTTACAGGATTTGTGATTTCATTAGCAATGTTCACATTTTAAAATTTAACTTCTGAATACAAAACTTGATGGGAATTCTGTTTCAGTAAACATCAAATATTTCCAGAAATGGATGTTCACTCTTAGCAACATCTATTCTTACACAAGCCATCTCTGCCCAGCAAGAAGTACTTACCAGTTCCGAGAGAGTTATCTCCTTCAGCTCTCTACCCCCTCCTATAAAAGGAACAAAAACAAGAACTAATGAAGAATAGTTTAAATACTATTTGAAATAATTAAAAAAAAAAAAAGACTTATGGATTTGGAAGGGTTTAAAAGTTTTTTAAAAAAAAACATCTGACACGCAAAGCAAGGCAGGGAGCCCTATGATTCTAACCTGGATTAAAACACAAACTATCAGTGTCACTAGGGAAGAGAATATGATGGGAACAAGGCTTTCTAGCTCAGCACAACACCCCCACCCCCCAACCCTTGGCAGAATATCATCATCATCATCATCATCATCGTGTTTACGGAGAGCTACGTCGCGAGGCGAGCGCTGCGCCGCGGAACCCGGGAGCTGCCCGGCGCCTCTGCCAGCGGCCACCCCAAGGTGCCAGCGCGGCCACCCCGCGGCCGCAGTGACTGAGGCCCCCGCAGCGACTGAAGCCCCCGCGCTCGGGCACCAAGCGCGGCGCCCCGGGGACGCGCTGCCCCCGCCGCGGGGAGCGGGGCGCCCAGCCGCGCGCCAAGGTGCCACCGCTCCAGCCAGCCTCCTCTGAATCACAGGAGATCATGAGTCACAGACCTACAGAGAGAGCTGATGTATAAATGGCAATTCATTTGCTCAATTACTTTGCCTGAAGCTATTAAAAAAAAAAAAAAAAGACACGCACATGCTAAAATACTCCACTGTTTTCTAGTAAAATACTAGAATATTAGTCTATTTTAAGGCTTGACTTTACAGACCAGATTTTTGCAGATTTGTTTCTATACTCACAAGCCACTGCAGCTGAAGTTTAGGCCCCAGTGCTGCTAACAGATACAGGAGCAGAAACTCACATAACATCTCAATTGACAAATGCCACTGAAAATGGGGTTTATATTTCCTGGCCAACACAAGCAGGGTGCCAATGAGCACCCAGAACCAAAAACAGCACACCCACTGCTGGCTGTGCCTACGTATATTGCCCCTCTACCCTAGCGTCCCATTCAGCTGTGCATTTGGGGCAGCAAAGTCTCACAGGAGTGAAGCTGTTTATTTAAATAAACCCCAAAAATGTTCCAGAGCTAACATATGCCTGACAACCAAGACCGCAGGATATGAAGAGTGAAGGATGGGCTCTTGAGGATATAACTCAAATTAAACACATTTGCTCTGGATGCCACAGAACTTGAACTACGCCAACAGATAACAGTTATTGAAAAGGCAGCCTTCACTCTCAAATTTTAGTTGGTTCTTCTTTGATTCTAGCACCTTTGATTCTAGCTGTTACCTCCATTTTCCACTATCAATCAGTTATTTTACTGGTCTGAAAATCCATGCAGGCAACTCTTTAATCACCACAAGCACCAACTCTCCCTCTTCAATAGACATAAAGGTTACAACTATGTTTCAGTGCTACAAAATATATATATATATATGTATGTATGTATATATTTTCAGTTACTGCCACGTACAGCAATGAAAGCTAAACAAAAGAATCCGGTGCTACACATCTATAAAGACAGGCTTACAATAAGAAACACAGCAACAACAAAACACACGCATGACTTTTATTCAAAAGAAAGAAGAAAAGCACCAGTTTGTTTGCCATGCAAGCACACAGAGCAGCAGCGTAATGGCACCATTAACTGTTGCTCCTTCCCCTTCTCAGGCTGGCCCTTCCTAGAGGGCTATGGCCACGGCAGGGCCAGGGTTGAAGGGGACCCCGTCGCTGGATGCAGCCGCTGCCTCCCAGCTCTGCGGTGCCTCAAGCCCGGCCTGAGCAGCCAGGGGCTCCCCAGGGCAGAGCGAGCCTGACCAGGGCTCTCCGACAGATCTGCTGGGGGGCCCTGCAGGAGAAGTCCCTTACAGAGGAGCTGGATGGGAAATGCAAATAAATCTGTATCCTCTTCTGCATATAATTTACTGCAGCTCTTCAAGCTCTTCAATTTGATAGTAGCTCAATGTTTGAAAGCAAAGCCTCTGCAAATACAAAACACCTCAGTTCTCTCTGCCCTCACGCAGACTTAGTATTTTTTCCTGGCAACTCCGTTTCATGCAGCAGAGAGGATAAAATTAGAGAAGCTTTTATGTTTTGGTTTGCAGCCTCGTGCCTTTTGTCCACTCACCACTAAGTTCCACCACAAATAAAGAATGGGTTTCCCCCACAAAAAACTATATTTCCTAAGGCCACAGTGAATCGGTAGAGCTTGACAATTCAAAATCCCATACCAAAGACTTGCCAGGAAACAGTTCATGACCAACTAAATCTGCAGCTTTGGGTCTCAACAACACTCCGGGTGTTTGGAGCCACTAGGAAACAACCCAGAGCAGTTCTGGTGGAAAAAGGTATCCAGCAATAGAGACATTCTGCTCCTGAGGACTGAGATTTTTTTCTTGTTTACACCCAGAACACACAGGCAAACTCAAATTCGCTCCCTCACACACATGAGCTACAATAATATACAGGAAAGATAAAAATCAAATGTATGGCTCAAAAATCACTCCTATTAACAAAGAAGGTCTGAAAAGCTGCACATTTTGTACTGTTTATTTTCCCAACATAAAACCTGAGCAAGTACAAATGCACAATAAAATCTCAGCTAGTCGATTTGCTAAGATTTTCTTTAGAGGCCCTCGTGACACAGACTGTAGGCTCCCTTTGGTATATGTGTGCACAGCCAACTCTCGGATTAAATTCGGCAATATTGGGGTAGTAGTTTGAAATTTATAATTTTAAAAGGCCAGCCCTGGGAGTTATACTTCTGTATCCACTTCTGCTTTCTATTAAGAACATTCCCTTCTTCCTAAAGCGCACATACTAAACCACATGATCAGAAGAGATGAAGGAAGGCTTAAGTATGTTCACTGCAAGCTAAAAACAAAAAGTATTTTAAACTAACATTAAATATCAAAGTTTTAGAAATATAATTTTTGATTAAGATTGACTGCTGAGGATCTGATATTAGTAAAACGGTTAGCTTAATTTTTAATTAATCTTCCATCTTACTGGTCTGAATATAACAGAAATAGCAAGTCACATTTTTAAACAGTCACCTGGATTTTCAGCACTTGACAGCATGTGACCCTGAGCAACCTGATCTAACTTTGAAGCTGGCCCTGCTCAGAGCAGCAAGGTTGCATAAGATGACCTTAAAATTTCCTCCCCATCTAAGCTCTTCTGTGATTGGTAGTCTACTTTTTAAAAAAGAAATTAATTTCTCAGCTGCAATTCCTACACAATAATTCTGCTGCCTTTTTTCATTCTGGTAGGATTACCATAGAAATGAACAACACATCTAAACAAATAGACTTTTTTTGATACATACATGCACTAGCTTTTTGAGTGCTTCCAGACAACATACATTTTTATATATGAGATTTATATACATGTAAGAAAGATTTACATATTATACATATCTAGAAAAGAAATATTTTCATATATGTAAGAAAACACAACACACCCCATTATTACCAAAATGACCATAAACAATCTGCAAATGGACTTGAAACTTTTTGTCAATGTTTGTAAAACACAGAGAAAAGTTACTCAATTCATGGGACTGTTCTGAAACCAAAGGCCTCAAACTCCAACTCTGCTGTTTATGATCCGGCAGTCCCAGGGGATCAGACGAAATTCCCATGGTTAAATGTTTAGCGTGTGGCATTTGAGAGTCTAACAGACTACCTAAATGCTAAGTACCTGTATTTTAAAACGTTCGGCTACATCGATCAGAGACTAATTGTCACCTTTATGTTATACAATAAACTTTATGCCCCTGTTAAGCGGAGAGCCTTGTTTGCAAGCAGGTGTGGGACGGAAGGGCGGCGCTGGGCAGCGCTCGGCACCGGCCCTCCCGGCTCCGCGAGCGCTGGTGCCCATCAGCGCCGCGGCACAGTTTAGTTTTACAGGTTACACCTGAGCCGAGTTTCCTGCGGTTAAAGGGCACCCAACTCGGTGAGCAAGCAGCTGGGTTCTGCTCGCAAACACGTGCCCGCTGGGCACGCTGCACTGCACTAGGGCCGGCTAACTTTACCTTAAATACACACGTATTGGCATACCTAAGGGTGTACCTAAGACCCCCAAAACTACATACACACAGCGCATGGATGGTCTTTGGGCACGAGCCCCTCAAAGCAACAGCTATTTTTGTGTATTTGAAAGGCATCCTGTATATACAAGACACTGGCAGTATCTTCTAAGAAAATAATCACTGTAATAGTTGCTTTAATATGATTTACCACTCAAAAATGAAAAGGCTCGTGCTTCTTAACGGGACCAAAGCATTCACCAAGCTGGGGGCTGGGGGAGTCTCTACAAACTATTTCAGACGACATTTCCCTAAGGCTCCCATTCCAGCGACCACATCACTAGCCCTGTTACTCCGCTTCGGGATTAGGAGCGAGTCTCGCAGGTGCCGGCGCGAGGAACCTCCATCCCCAACCGGGAGCCGGAGGCGAGGCCCCCGAGGGCCTGGAGGGGCCTTCCTCGCCCTCCTCCTCGCGCACAACCTCCGCCTCTGCGCGTCGCCGGCCGCCCGGCATCGCCGCCCTGCGCCCGCCAACCCGCCACGCAACAGGCCCCCGGGCGAGTCTAAGACTCCCCAAACCCACCTCGCCTTGGCACAGGTGAGCTCATCCGCCCCTAAATCATTCCGAAAACTGCCAAGCCACAGGGTCAACGGCAGCGCAGGACACCAACAGTATGAACTCTGTACCTAACATAGAGTATGATTGAGCTGAAAGGCTCATTACAACTAAAAAAGGCTGTCCCCACCGTATAGAAGACGGTCTTTATGGTCTTATTTAAATACTTTACAGTCTTAAGTACTTAAATACTTTACAGTCAGTAAAAAGACTTTACAGTCTTACTTAAGTACGCACACACACTCCCATATAAACAAAAACCTACAAAAATATTTAAGCTGGTGGGGATTATAATGTTATTTCTGGTTCCCCACAGCTACCACTCTAATTGAAATGAGCAGGTATTGCTCAATTCAGTCTTTCTGCTGGGGGGCAGCAGCAAAGA